CAGAGGTAGGCGGATCTCTGTGAGTTCGAGACCAGCCTGGTCTACAGAGCTAGTTCCAGGACAGGCTCCAAAGCCACAGAGAAACCCTGTCTCGAAAAACCAAAATATATATATATATATGCAGACTAAAAGTTGAAGTTCTTAAAGTAAAAAAAAAAAAAAAAAAAGGAAGAGAGTTGTTGTGTGTGGTAGCACACGCCTTTAATCCCAGTGCCTAGAAGGCAGAGACAAACAGATCTCTGTGAGTTCAAGGTGTAGTAGTGTACACCTTTAATCCCGAATGCCTGGGAGGCAGAGACAGGCGGATCTCTGAGAGTTCAAAGACAGCCTGGTTTACAGAGTTACTTCAGGTCAAAGATACAGAGAACCTGTCTCAAAAAGCAAAGAGTTAAAAGTAAAAATAAACAAAATAGAGGTTAAAACAAAGCTGCACAAAGATGGAAAATAGACAGAGAATTTTGATACTGTCTGCTATTATGCTCTCTTTGAATTGTTTGAATGCTGAGGAAGGAGCAACAGCTGCTAAAAGATATTTATTTATAAATACTGCTGAACTAATCCAACATAGATATCTTGAATTTGGATCTAAGGATATGATACTTTGGAAAAGAGTTCCTTATTTTGTTTTCACAGAGGATGAGACGCTGTTCATTTCTTCTATTCCGATTTGGTATGATGGACCACGCCCTCCTGAAGGGTTGCAGTGAACATCTTCAGAAAATTGCTTCGCTCAACTGCCAACTGAGATGAAACTAGCACACAGGGTTATACCATGAAAGACCTAATTAACGACGCCCCCATTCAGCAGGAAGCAGTTTGGAGAGAAAAAACTGCGCCCATGTTCTCAAATATGGTTTATAAACGTCCTTTTACATTTAAAGGGGGATATGATATAGGTATGAATAATTTGCATTAGTATAGATTTTGCTTTATTGATAGAGATTTACGGTCAATTTTGCTATATGTATAAGTGTTTCTGATTTTGATTAAGGTATTGTGATTGTGTAGTTCATTTAAATATGTACTGTATAATTAAGAAATATAGGTTGTTAATGGATAATCATCGATAATAGTAAAGCTTGTAGTCATGTTAGTTAGATTTTCTAGATATATAGAGATATATTTTAGATAGACATTCTTCATGTCTTTCAAAGATTACAGAATAGGACATTTAATGTTTTAATAACTGAGGACTTTTCATGACAATGAGACACTCTGCTCCTGGCAGCACCAATCTACTTCAAGAGGAAGATGGGCATCGAAGAGGCTCGTTATGGAGTTTTGATAGCCATTTGGGCAAGAAACTGCTCTTGCCTGGAGTATTGCATAAACTGGACACAGAGAACCCGCAGAGAGAGGACTACTGAACTTGCCTTTGGTGAGATGATCTTTCGGGGTTCCTGATTCATTTTGAAAGAGTCTGCGAGACATTCTGCAGGACACAACAGATAGTGACTGAACTGACTTTGAATTTTCCTGCTTTATGGAAATGTCTGCTGGATACCATGGGCCTGAAGGCTGAAGATGGATGCCCCAATGGTACAAAAGAACTTTGGGTGACTGTCCAGGCAGCGAGATGTCTTTGTCATTTCTAGAGTTTGAAGTTTCTTAGTTCTTGTTTACTTAGGTAATATTATATCTTTCTGGAGTCTTTGATGGAGTTAAGAATAGTTAGTTATAGTTATAGTTTTCCTTAGTTATGATAAAGATTATTGTAACTTTTACTTGATAACTGTTTTGTTATATGTAATTTTGCTATGTTAAATCCTTTTTTTTTGTTTAAACCGAAAAAGGGGAAATGATGGAGGAAGGTCATTGGCTAATAAAGGCACTGCCCTGGCCCATTTTATTGGTTAGAGGATAGGTGGGAGGAGTAAACAGAACAAAATGCTGGGAGGAAGAGGAAGTGAGCTCCGAGACTCCACCGCTCTGCTCTCTCGGGAGCAGACGCCTCAGAGAGAGACGCCATGCTCCTGGCTCCTGGGCAGACGCACGCTATGAAGCTCCGACCCAGGATGGACTAGGCTAGAATCTTCCCGGTAAGACCGGTTCTCACAGATTATTAGAGATGGGTTGATCAGGATAACAGAATTAGCCAGTAAGGGCTAGGGCTAAAGGGCCAAGCAGTGATTAAAAGAATACAGTGTCTGTGTAATTATTTTGGGGCATAAGCTAGCTGGGCAGGCGGCCGGGGTGTTGGGGACGCAGCCCCACTGCCCTTATTACTTCAGACATAGAAAAATGACTTGAAGGAATTTTTTTTTTTTTTTAGAACAGTGTCCCGTCCTGTATATTGGAAGACTGAAGAGACATCATGACGTGTCTTTGGGACTGAGGGCAGGAAGCATTGCTGAGAAATCTTGTTCTGGAATATTGCTTCTTCCAGCTCAATAGACATGTGTTCGTCAATCGAGTGCAGGGCCTTGACCTCTGCCCGACAGACTGCTTAATAGAGGTCTGTGGAGATTTTTGTGACAGGATCTACCACAGAGCCTTGTGAAAATGCATTTTATGCTTTGATTCATCAATATCACTTCTAGGAATTCGTCATACAAAAATACTTGCACACGTATGCTGTGTGCGCGTTCACCGATGAACTGTAATCTGTACGTCATTCTATACCACAACAGGACAAGAACTAAAAATTGGAAATAACTTAATTTGTAGTTTTACAGACATTTTGCTACTGTTACAATGTGTCAGGCAATATGGGTTTTAAAAAGCGGCAACAGTGTGTCCCTACAATAGACTATGGTACAGCAGAAGGATGGAGAAGCCACTGTATATTGGATATGGGCATGTTCAGGGTGGAGGGGTGAATGAGAACATGGTATTGTATTTGCAAAAGGAAAAACTAGAAGAATGTGAAGAACCCCCTAAGAAGAATGGGGGTACACGAGGTGGATGGGGGGGGTAGGAGAGTTACTTCACAAGATATAATTTTATATGCTTTAGTTTTGGATTGTGTGAGTTTACTGTTGACTGGGCAGCTGTACTGCAGCATGGCTTCTTGTCATGGGACCTCTTTCTCTCACCCAGGAGCTCTCGTCGTGGCATGAGGACATGTGGTAGCCTTGCACCCACCCCGTATTCCCCCGTGCCCCTGATCTCACCAGTGGGGAAACTCTCTGCAGCGACCTGGCCCCTTCCCCTCAAATCTTGAGGTTCTCTCTTCTTCAGCCTTGGACTTTCTCCATCACGTACGGAGTCTCTTGGCTCACACGGGAGGGCAAACATGGCTCTCATGAAAACTGTCCAAAAAGAAAGGAAAATTGTCCATCGGAGCTGGGGGTTGGGGCAATGGTTGCGTGTTCTAGTTGCCTTGTACTACCATGGACAACTATGAGGCAGGCTATCCATGTTTTGTAGGTGGTGTGAGCCCCCAATGGCCACAGCATCCCTTGCTCATCAATACAGAATGCATTGGCTCTCCCTCACTCTGTATCACTTCCTGCGTACCCCACTCCTACTTTCCATAAGCTGCCTGCGCTCAAATTTGTTTGGGGGGTCTTTTGAGGAGCCAGGATTAAGACAACTATTTCAACACACTAAAGCTCTCTCCTCTTTGTCTCTTGGGAGACTGCATGCTGGTTCCCTGACCAAAAAAAAAAAAAAAAAAAAATCTGCTGAGACATCATTGCTAAGATGACAGCTATGGGTTTCCTAATCTGTGTGAATGTGACCCTGCCCTAAATCTATCTTAGGGGGATGCTGTGAGCACACCAAAGGTTCCAAAGGGTCTGTTTGTCCCCTATGAGGGGTGAGCTGGTGGACATGGCCTGCGGGGGTGAAGTGTTTAGCTGAAGTTGATAACCATGAACAAACCCTTTGAAAGACCTAAAGAGTATGTTCAGGTATCTGGCCACAGCATCAGCCCGCTCCTTGTACAAAAACAAAACGGAACTACAAGGACCTTCCTCCGGTCTGGAAATTGTCCTGAGTAGACACAGCACCAGCCAAACCACAGCCCCTCCCAATGAGGAAGGCAGAAAGCCAGGTCCTGTCCTGCTCATGGGGGGGGGGGGGAGGGAGGGGAACAGGAGAACAGGACAGTGGGGAAGTTTCATATAAGGTAGGACAGGCAGAACCACAGAATGCCCAATCCCAAAGGACTTTTCCAAGTCCCCTATACGGGAAGTTAAATTGGCAGTCTATTGGTCGTGCCCCATCTAGAAAATGCTCTCTGTGGGTTGGAGAGATGGCTCAGCAGTTAAGAGCATTGCCTGCTATTCCAAAGGTTCTGAGTTCAATTCCCAGCAACCACATGGTGGCTCACAACCATCTGTAATGAAGTCGGGTGCACCAAATAAATATTTTAAAAAGAAAGGAAGGAAGGAAGGAAGGAAGGAAGGAAGAAAGAAAGAAAGAAAGAAAGAAAGAAAATGAATGCTCTCCGTGGCCGAGACACAGTTTCTGATCTAACAGGGTAATAACTTCTCTGGAAGCAAAACAGGGGCCCAGGAGTCTCCGTGGATAGGCTGGAAGTTGGAGTGGGATTGTCTTTGAACAGCCAAGGAATATTATAGGAAAGGTCATCTCAGAGTTTGGATGGGAAATCTCAGAATTGAAGCTTTGTGCAGGGCAAGCCATGCCGCTACCGCCGCCACCACCATTTACCTCGAAAGGTCTGGATTCCAGTATGGGGGCCTCCCCTGCACCACCTCTGAGAGAAGACACGGCTTTACCCCTGGCTTGCGAAGGGCAAGTACACTGGCCCTGGGAACCACGGCTGCTTGCAGAGGACACTGCTCAAGTCTCTGAGATGGTGTGGATGCCCGGCTGTGGAGGTCCCACCGGGTTGAAGAGCTTAGAAAGCCTATTGAGGGCCCTATAGTCTGAGACCCTCTTTTAGCCTGACTGGGAGGCAGGCGAGGTCCACGGGGCGGAGTCGGTCGCCCAAAGGGGCGGGCCACCAGGGCTGGCTCCCAGGCTGTAGGATGATGAGCTGTAGAGCGAAGCAGCAACTCCAGACAGACGCGCAGAAGCGCACCGAGGAGGGCAGAACAGAACAATACACGCCCACCAAGCACGCGCACCTTGGCCAGCACTAGCCAGGGTCCCCAGAGCCCTGGCCGCGCCCACCTACCGCACTGACACAGGCCTGGAGTGCGCCCCTGGAGGCACCGAGGCAGGTAAGTGCCGGGTGGCAGCGGGCGGTCTCGGGGCACTGAGCGTCGCTTCCAGGAGATTCCTCCCGGCCTTGGGACACTGGGGTTGGGGACTAGGGCATACATAGCTCGTGAACCAGGGAGACGGGCAGCAGGCGAGCCGAGAAAGGCGGAGGTGTCCGGGTCGTTCCCAAGCCCCGCAGACAACCTTGTGGCCAGCTTTGCTTCTTGGGCTTGAATTTCCCACTGGATTCCTAACCCTGGACCAGTGTCGCGCCTTTTGGTGTCCGAGGCAAATGGGAGACAAGGGACCGGCGGGCGGGCCGGTTCTGAAAAGCCAGCAAGGACTCCCACTTATCTATCCCCAGTGTCAGCCTGTGCAAAACCAATAGACAACCCAGAGGGAGGACACTGGGGTGCAGACTCTGCCGGAACCCCAGCTGTGAAGTGGGGTGGAGCGCACACCTTATAAGTATGTAGCACGTTGGGGTTTTACTAGCACCCCCACCCACCCACACACCTTGTGGCTGCTGTGTCTGGGCTCCCCATGTTCTCCCTGCCCTCATAGGGCTGAAGAGATCTCGCTATCCAGTTTGATTGCTTCTTGCTCTCCCTTCTCGCAGCTGCCACACTCGCAGGTGTGCTGAGGTGTGAGCGGGAGGTGGTTCACAGATGATGAAACAGACCAAGTTAGGTTGGGGGTCCCTCCCCACACTCAGGGACCCCTTCCCCTTTAGCAGCCACCTCCTGAGGGCTAGCATTTTCCAAACTTCATTTCCTTTCACTCCTGTGGGCATCTGAAGACACCAAGAATATAAAGGAGCTCTCAGGTAACGAGGACAGTCCCTAGTGTCCCTCTGATCATCCCCAACGCTTAGAAGGCTGTTTGCAGATCAGTCTGGTCTCAGAGCAGCCACCGCTTCAGAGGACACAGATGCTGACAAGATTCAGTCCCTCAAGTCGAGGTTGGCTGAAAATGGGAAGCTGGGAGCCTAGGGAAGGGGTCCGGGAGCAGATCCAGAGGAGCAGGGTCAACTTGGGGAGAAATTACTTATTCTAGAGCGGGTTTTTCCATCCGGGAGGACCTCAATCACCAGAGAATGTCTTGCGTGTCCTTTATAAGCATATAAAGTAGGCATATAAACCAGACACTTACTGATAATAAATCATTAATGTATTTTAAAACAATTCTTTGATGTGCATATAATTTTACCATTTATTAATGAGGAAAGCAAATCTGTATACTAATGAGATGGATTGCTTATTTTTACATAAAGAATTAAATCTTGGCTGAATATTGGATGTAGCATCTTCAACGTTTTTCAGAGGTGAATGATATTTGGATTTTGTAGTCATCGATGCCAGGAATGTCGCTTCATGTAAACTTGTGGTACACATGGAAGAGTGTTTCAGGGCCAGTTAAGAAACTGCTGAAAATTTTGTCCGAATTCCAAGCCAGATTTCATTTAATGATTTTTTTAAAGACTCTAGTCATCAGCTCAAACAGCAACTTTTAAATTCTTATTAAACCTGTGTGCGTGTGTATGTGTGTGCTGAGTACCCTCTGAGGTCAGAAAAGGGTATCAGAAAAGGCAGCTAGAATTACAGTTTTTGCAACCCAGTGTTAGTGCAGAGACCTGAACTCTGAACTCTAGTCTTGTTCAAGAGATCCCTCTGCAGGAGCAGCAAGCACCACAACTAAGCCATCACACAGCTCCTCACATAGAAATTTTTTAAATCAAAAATGTTTTAGCACAATAAACCCAAGCTACTAGCTAGTAGCCATATGCAGCCGTGTGAATCTATAGTCCCAATGCTTGGAAGACTGGGGCAAAAGGATCAGGAGTTTAAGGTCAGCCTACGTGGCATGACCCTGCCTCAAAAATAAACAAAAAGACAGACCAGTTTGATACTTACATACTAGAAAATGTTGACGCTCAAAGTCTTGGCTTTCCATAACTAAACCATTATGTTTCTATGAGATCAGAAAGCCTGGTGTACAATAATTGTAGAAGTGCAATTCATAACACAATCTGGATCTGAGGCAAGGTATTTCAGGCCCTGTTCACTGGCACTGAAACACGAGACAGCACGCAAGGCAAAGTGAACGTGCATGTTTAGAAACAAGCTATAACGAAGTCTGATTCAACGTGGTTGAAGGATGCCAGGAACAGCTTAGATCCTCTGCCTGTTTGATTTTGTTCTTTGAGCTGATTTTTGGTCATTCAGAAACCATTTACTGTTGCCCAATTTTTTGCAACCCCCACGTTTTAAGAGACAGTTTGAAAGACTGGCCTACTAGAACCCCTAGGCAAAGAACAGGCAAGAAGAGAAAAGCTGTTATGCCCAGATCGCAGGGTCCCCCCCAAAACCACGACGTAGTCCACACTCTATGTAAAAGCAAAGAGCCTTTATCCAAGCTTAAGCTTGGACCCTCCATCTGTCCGATGCAGCGAATGGGAGCAGTGCCCAGACCAGTCGGGATAGAGTTTTTATCATAGTAGAAGTTGGGATGAGAGGATTTCCAGGGTTCAGTACCCTGATTGACTGACATTTGTCTAGGGGTCTTGGCAAAAGGGGAGTAGAGGACATCTGGTGACCTTATCTAATGGTTGAAGTGTCAGGTACTCACGCCCCTTTAGATGCTGGCCCTCCCTGGATGATGTCAGCTTATGGCTTTTCCTGGAACCTAGTGCTGCCTGCCATGGCAGTTGTGTGGCCTGGGCCCCACCCACCAACGGATTCCTCTCCAGCCCCTGCTTTATGCCGTTGTCTGATAAGGGGTTGAGAGTAACAACAGTCAAAACAGCACTGTCTGCTGGGAGAAGGGCAAGGGTGCCCATTCCCCTTGGGTTTCTATGGAGAGTCCAGTTCATTCTGTGGCCAGCAGGCAGAGGGTCTCCCATCTCCTTACCCCTGGGTGGGTCTAGATGGACTGTCCTAGGGAATTCTGAGGGGGAGGGGATACTGTCAGATCTGATGTTTGTTGTCCATTTGTTATATCACCCCTCCCCCGCCAGATCCTGGATGGTATCAATTCTCCCCTAGGATTCCAGCAGGAAACCGCGCTCCCTGACACCCCCCACACAGCTGGAGGTGCTGAACTCCATGTGGACACACCTCCCTGATACCACCCCTGCTGCAGGCTACAACATGGCTGCCCAGAACAGAACCGTTAGCTTTGCACCTGGCTTGAATCTGCCTCAAGACCATGCCTCCTCCCTCCCCTTCAACTTCAGTTACAGCGATTACGACCTCCCCCTGGATGAGGATGAGGACATGACCAAGACACAGACCTTCTTCGCAGCCAAGATTGTCATTGGCGTGGCTCTGGCAGGCATCATGCTAGTCTGTGGCGTCGGCAACTTTGTCTTCATTGCTGCCCTCGCCCGCTACAAGAAGCTACGCAACCTTACCAACCTCCTCATTGCTAACTTGGCCATCTCAGACTTCCTGGTGGCGATCGTCTGCTGCCCCTTTGAGATGGACTATTACGTGGTACGTCAGCTTTCCTGGGAGCACGGCCACGTGCTTTGCGCCTCTGTCAACTACCTTCGTACGGTCTCGCTGTATGTCTCCACCAATGCCCTGCTGGCCATCGCTATTGACAGGTGAGCCTCACTTCCGGGTTCACGGGCTGGCATCGCTCCCCATGCGGCTCCTCAATGATTTGTTGAGGGGCTAGAGGGGACTTTTCTCCAGCTGTGTTCTGTTCACTAACGTTCAAGCAAGCGGGAAGCTTCTGAGTTCCATAGTTCTGATCATGACCTGAGATACTGTCTGCTTCAGATGTAGGCAGTCCAACACAAAGGCAAAAAGCAGAAAACCCAGGCAGCAACTACTCAAAAGCCATGGGATATTAAGTAGGGCAGCTTACAGTTAAGACGAGGGTACCACGTTTCTCATACAACTGGATCCAGATATAAAAGATTCCATGGCCCCTGATAGTTTCCGCTGCCAGTCTCAGGCATCGCTTCTGCCATCACAGCTCAAATCTGTCTGTTCTTTCATCACCTCATCGGGATCGCGCAGCATGTCACACGCCTTCTGGTGACTTCGCTGCAGAGCTGGTTTGAAAATAAGATAGCAGAGTTTGCTTACAGGAAAGGGGGAAGGGCGTGTTTGCTTTGGCTGTTTTGCATGTGTCTGTATGCTTATTTACATACATTTGCATGAGACCTTCTAGAAGTCCTTGCTCTATTATGAATCTATAGGTAAGATTTGTCACAGCGGCTAATGAGATATCCTGCATGTTTCATGTTTCAGGTCAGCATTGTCCCCAGTGGCGGGGTGGAAGGAGGGGACCTCTGATGAGTTCCCCCTTTTGAGCTGTTCTGAAATGCGTTCTGATGAAGTGCTTGTGGCCTTCCCTTTTGTCTCCTTCAGCTCTTGAGTTCCTCCCTTGTTCTCGGTGCTGTTTGGTGCTTTTTAATATGCCAGTTAGTTATTTTTCCGTAATATTAACAAAAGACACAGAAACAAGACACTTCTTCCTTTTTATAGCAAGATACCTGTAGGAAAACGCCTTTATCACCTAGCTCTGAGGCCCTGCAGCTCATAAGGCAGTTTATGAGGCACACACTCACCAGCCAGCTGCACCAGGTTCCTCAGGAAAATCACCAGATTACCATTTGCTACAGCAATTGAGTCTAGTTCCTGAACCCCGCCCACCCAAGTCTCCTGAATGGGAATACCTTGAGCTGGGAGTTGCAAAAATCTGCATTTTTATTCATTTTCATGAGTGACTCTCATGCTTGCTGAAGTAAGAGTGATTGCTGTCCTCACCCCTCACGCTCTTGCAAGCTCTGTGTCGTGACCTGACGTCCGCCTTTGCTTTCTCTTAGGGTCTGTGATGCTAGAACTGCTTAGAAAGCAGTCACCCTGGTACAGGCAACAGAGGTTCCATCTCAGCCCCAGCCACCCCTTCCCCACACAACCTCCCCCGCTGTGCCACCATTCCCAGTGGCCCAAGCAGGGAAGCGACTGTCATCCCTGCCTTTCTTCCTGTCCCTCAGCCACTGACCCCACACTTAGATGCTCAGCTCTAAGTCCAGTCTGTGTCCCTCCAGCTTTGCCACTTGTCAAGTCACGGTGGACACTGGCACTCTGCTGACTGGTCTGTCATTCCCCAGGAGCCTCCGACTGCTCCCTGAAATCCGTGTCTATCCGTGTGAAGCATCTGAACCTCGCTGTTGCTGGCTCTTCCTAAGATATTCCTGTGCCTATGAAATCTCTGCAAGTCCCAGTGTCACAGCATAGTCAGATTTTTCTCTGGGCCACCAGCTCACAAACAACAACACAGAGACTTGTTATTAATTATGAAAACTAAACCTTACCTGAGGTTTGTTCCACTAGTTCTTATAACTTAAATTAACCCATTTAAATTAATCTGCATTTTGCCTCATAGCTTTTTACCTTTCTTTCATTCTATATGTCAGATTCCCCGCCCCCCATCTCTCGCTGGCTTCTCCCTGCACCTCAGTTATCTCCTCCTACTTCCTCTATACCTCCTGCTTAGCTATTGTTCATTCAACTCTTTATTAAACCAATCACAGTGATATCTCCACACAGTGTACAAACATCCCACAACAGTCACAGGAGATCAATCCTGAGCTAGCATTGTGGGTTATGCCAGACTGACCTTCCAATTCATATTGTGTATATAGATACAGATATAGATGTCCTTCCCAAAAAAAAGATATATATTATTTTTTTGAGACAGGGTTTCTCTGTGTAGCCTTGGCTAGCCTAGAACTCACTCTGTAGAACAGGTTTGACCTTGAACTCACACAGATCAGCCTGCCTCTGCTTCCTGAGTGATGGGATTAAAGTCCTGAACCACCACCACCTGGTCCCAAAGATACATTTTAAGAGCAACCATCATGTCTTTGGTCTTTCTGTGCCCAACTAAGATAACTTACTAAGATATCTTTGTTTGTGTTATTCCCTAAACCCTCTGACACAGGGATCCATGTGCAGATGAACCAGAAAATACTGAGAGGGGAATGAGAAGTGAGGGCAGCAGGCACATTGCTAAAGCTTCCGTGGGGGATTCCTGCTGAGGAACCCTTGGAGTAGGTGTGGATCCCAGCTCAGAGTTCTCTCAGGAGCAGGAGGAGGGAGCCAGGGTGTTTATACGGGGCTCTTACAAGTCATCACATCTCTGAAAATACAGCACGGGTAACGGAGAGGACTCTGGAAGTCAGAGAAAACCCTCATACAAACAAAAAGACAGGTGTAGGCACGCCGGGGTGCACACCCATGCTGAAGCGGCAAAGCCCAGAGGAATGAGGGGGATATACCGAGGTGGTAAGAGCATCGGGGTACGAGGAAGGACATAGCGAAGTGGTAAAGGGGCTGGGGCTATAGGCAGGTATATACCGAAGGGGAAAGACAAAAGCATATGGAGGAAGAACTGGCAGCATCTGCCATAGCCATAGCAAGATCTGGGGCTCCTCTGTCCCCAGGCTACATACTTGGAAATACAAGCAGTAGAAGACATGGCTCTTGAACTCAAGAAGTTTTTTTCTTCCATTTTAAAAACTAGGAATTATCAAACATTAAGAATAATAAAGATCCACTGATTTATGAATGCTAGTTTCTCAAGAGAGACAAGCATCTCACCTGTGTCGTTCAGAATGACTTTGAACTCTGATTCTCATGCCTTAAACTCCTGAGCACTGGAATAACAGACGTGCACCCCTAAATCTAGACTTAGCTCCCTCAGGAAGTCTCTACCTGCCCTGGCTGATCAAGGAGCTAGATGAAAGGGAAGTGTCGTGGGCAGGAGCACATAGGACAAGCACACAGGAGGTCATGGGTAGGGGGTAGGTTCTGTAAGGGTCGAAGATGGAAAGACAGCATATGGGACCTTAGGCCTTAAGACAGAGATCCCTTAGGATAGCTCCCTTCTCCCATCATCAGATGCTAAACTAATTGAAAGGTGCATTAGACGCCCTATCTTTCCCTGATGGTGCCAAATTTAGGTTGGGTAATTTTTCCTGGAGTGGTATTTCATTCACCTCAGAGAGAGAAACAGCTTAAGTTTGTTGGAAGAGACCCATGAACCTCTGCCCTCCTTTCACACAGTTTCTCTCCTAAGGGTGCCCCCCAAAAGTAATGCCACCTTCCAGCCCCTGAGTTCACGCTGTGAGAGCCACGTCAAACTTCTGACCTCCTAAAGTGCACCCTCACAATGCCTGGCACAATAGGACACAATAGCGACAACAGGAAGTGGCAACACAGAAACCCCAGCCTCCCGGTGCACTTCCTGTCTGTTCAGATATCCCCGTTCTGCTCTCTAGAGACACCAGAAGGGCCAGCTCGTGCTGCCTTTGGAAACTGAGCCCAGAGACTATGCTCATGAAGAGGAGGTGCTATCTCTAGTTGTAGGGAGTTAAAGGAATCTATTGACCTCAAAAAAGAACTTGAGTGCGCTCGCTAGCTCTCTCTCTCTCTCTCTCTCTCTCTCTCTCTCTCTCTCCTCTCTCCTCTCTCCTCTCTCCTCTCTCTAGCAGATAAGCAGATAGTTGACAACAGAGACCCTGTAGATGTCTCTCTTGCCAACAAATGAGTCAGGAGAAATAATCAGGATAAGCAATGTACTAAACTCCATCATACATTATGAATGTTTACTTTCTTGGAAGCTGACAAAAATCCTGATAGATTGTCAGTTAAGGCATTGTTATCCCCACTTCACAGATATAGAGATTAAATCTCAGAAGCCTAAGTTATTTACCTGAGTGCACAGCTTAGAAACTGGCCTCCTAACACCCCTAAGCCAGTGCTCTTTTCTTTCTGGTGTCCTTGATGTCAACAAGGACCAGACTAAGAGAACTAGTAAGTCCTGGATTTGTTTTACAGTCTCTAAAGACTTTGGATCAGCACAGTACACAGAATAATGAATGCCCGGCTGTGAGATATTCCTGCCCCTGTCAAGTGGTGGATGCCTATCTTTTTGCCTCTCCAGCCCTGTGATGCTTGTCCTCCTAGCCTGATCCCACAGATGGGTGGAGAGCTCCAGCACTTGCTGTGGTAACACCCAGCCAGGAGTGCCCTCACCCTGCCTGTGGTTGGGGTGGGTCCAACTTTCTCCTCAGTATTCAGACGCTTCCAGTATGGAATTAGCTGGAGAGCCACCTGCAAGCAGGGGCAGAATGGGACAAGATGGCAGAAATACCATAAAGGACAAAAGCATGGCAATAACACGGCAGAGGGGTTGAAAAGGTGGTCAAAGGGTCTGGTCAGAAAGAAAAGATTAATCAGACAGGATTGTCTACAGGCAGCTTCCTGCTCTCGGTCCACATGCTTCCTGCTCTTGGCCCGCCTGCTTCCTGCTCTTGGCCCGTGCACTGGCTTCCTGGATAGTCTCTCTTACCTACATCTCGCACCTCTTCTCTTCCTCCACCTTCCTGCCCCCGACCCACATAATGCACAGAAATTATTCCAGGACCTGAATATCTAAATAGCTACCATGCCCTCTCTCAGATGGGAGACAAGCAGCCCACACAGGCAAGCTCGTTTTCCACAGTAGATTCTGGCTTGTGTTTCTTGAGCAGTGACTGTCTGAAAAGGACAAGGGTAAAGCTTCAAGGTACCACAGTGAAGTGTCTTCACTATGTACTTTCTCTTGAGTGTGAAATGACGTGGGGAAGGGGGCGTGTATCAGATGGCTCGATTCCGGGATCTGCCAGCCGTGAACCTGGGCCTAGGGCTTATTTCTCGCTAGAGTCCTCCATCTCACTGCCTCATAGTGCAGGCTGACGCCAACAGGGAGACGGAGAAAGCCCAGGCAGTATCCACACCTCACTCTGAGGTCTTCTTTCAGCTTAAATCACAAGGTATTCTGAATAAAAACTTTAAGAGTGCCTTGTGGGCAGGACAGCAAAATTGAAAACTCAAAGGGTATAACCGTTCCATGAACAGCTGAGCACATGGAGCTACTGAAAGATATTCACACAAGTACATCCTTAGCATGTTTAATGTTCACAGACATCCCGCAGGGTAAGTACCATTTGTCTCAGGTTGTATTTAGGGAAACGGATCTCAGAGGGAAAGGGAATTCCCAGATCCCTATGCCAAGCAAGGGAGAAAAGCCAGGTTGATCTGACCCGTCTGCTCTTTCCGTTAAATCCCTACTCTAAATACCAAGTGGGGCTGTTAATGATCTAGTGCTCTTTAAACCTGGGTAGTGGGCGACTGGGGATTCATTGTGCTGTTCCCGGGCTTTTGTGTATGCTCTGGACTGATTAAAAAAAATCAGTCGTGCTTCCAAGTATAACCATACTGCTGGCTTCCCTCTCCCTCCAGATACCTGGCCATTGTCCACCCCTTGAAGCCGCGGATGAATTATCAGACCGCCTGGTTCCTGATTGCTTTGGTCTGGATGGTCTCCATCCTTATCGCCATCCCATCTGCCTACTTCACCACCGAAACCATCCTCGTTGTTGTCAAGAACCAGGAAAAGACCTTCTGTGGCCAGATCTGGCCGGTGGACCAGCAGCTCTACTACAAATCCTATTTCCTCTTCGTCTTTGGCCTTGAGTTCGTGGGCCCAGTTGTCACCATGACCCTGTGCTATGCCAGGATCTCCCAGGAGCTTTGGTTCAAAGCTGTACCTGGCTTCCAGACGGAGCAGATCCGCAAGCGGTTGCGCTGCCGCCGCAAGACCGTGCTACTACTCATGGGCATCCTCACGGCCTATGTGCTGTGCTGGGCACCTTTCTATGGCTTTACCATCGTGAGAGACTTCTTCCCCACTGTGTTTGTGAAGGAGAAGCACTACCTCACCGCCTTCTACGTCGTTGAGTGCATCGCCATGAGCAACAGCATGATCAACACTGTGTGCTTCGTGACGGTCAAGAACAACACCATGAAGTACTTCAAGAAGATGCTGCTGCTGCACTGGCGGCCCTCTCCCTATGGCAGCAAGTCGAGCGCTGACCTTGACCTCAAAACCAGTGGGGTGCCGGCCACGGAAGAGGTGGATTGTATCAGGCTGAAGTAGCCTGCTGGTGATGCCCAAGGGAAAACAAATTCGGTACTCAGTGTATCACACACCATCAACCACTCACGAGCTACATGAGAAAAGACAACAGTATTCATGCTCTCCTGCCCAAATGTATCTGGATGCTCCTATGTCCTAACATATGGCACAACTGGTACCTGTGTAACACCTTGAGAGACAAGACACAAATGGCAGCAAGTGACAAGGACTGAATGCCTTCTGTGTGCAAACCACAACAAGAGATTATTCAAGGACAGGAGCTGACGTTTGCTGACTACCTGATATGCGCAGAAACAGTTACCACCCCTCCCCGCAAATGGTAGCATCTGTTTGGCGCTACCATGCTCTATCTATCCACTTAATCTAGCTATCCATCCATCTAGAGCACTTGAAAGAGGTCACAGATGATTAGCCAGAGTTGTGCTCCGTATTCTCTCGTCTCTATCCCATCCACACAGAACTGTCAAAAGGCAACAGAACAAAGTACTTAGACCCAGCAGAAGTGTAAGGGTGACCCCATCAGTATGGAGCCCATGGTCTTAGGGTAAGAGAATCCAGACATCATATTCACCTTCCCCACCCAGCTCCAGCTATCTCCTGAATATTCTGTACTTACCTACAACGGTGTAATTTCAAAGGGGGAAAATGTCTTTACCACCGATGTGTCAAATTCCATCAGCCTATGGGCAAAGATGGGAAATACCAACACAAGACATGCATCCAGTTCCTGATACTTCAGTGCCAAGAAGTACAAGGCTTTGGGGTCATGGAGGAAGAGGACACGGAAAGAGGCAGAAGCTGCCAGTAGCAATGAATAGAATCTGTGTCCGTTTACTACAATGTGGATGATTCTCGAGAACATGCTCTGTTGTATAAAAGGAGTTTTGGTTGAGAGCCGAAGATCTGTGTGAAAGTCCTAACTCCAGGACTCATCTCTGTGTGCCTCCACGTTAATGAAATGGGAATGATGAAAACAGGTCATTAGAAAAGCCCATTGAAGCCACGGTGTGTATGATTTCCAGCTCTACCCTGGTTAAGAGTGTGATACTATAGCTCATTAGAGTCTGGAAATACCATTCACTGTGGGTCTTTTTTTAATAGAGGAACAGCTTCACATTTTCATCCCTGATCATTGGACCCGAGACTACTGAACTCATTTTAAAGTAGCATATCTCGAGTGGGGCATAGAGGTCCACCTGCCCCAGGGTACAGTCAAGAGGATGCAGCCAATGCCCATACTCTCAGCATCCCTGTGGTCTTGGAAGCACTGACCGTCTTCCCAACATAGCATGGGTGGACCCCAGGCCTGAACTCAATTGTATTGTGTCATTGCAGACAGTAGGGTTGGTGAGGTTGACCTGCCTGCCTAGGAGTGTCTCCTTCCTCCTTCACAGCACCACATGCATCCCTCCCTTAACTGCACACTCCGTTACTAAGGAAGACCGTCCTCAACCCTGAAGAACCACTGTTCCTTCAAGGGCATAGGCACGGCAGGCTTCCATGATAAACCTCCAATCTCTCCAGTAGACCCTGTATCCTTTGAGTGTATCGACAGGATTCACCTCCTTCTTACATTTGAACATACGGTCCTCCTTTTGTTTGGATTCAGCTGGAAAACACTTCTGTAATTATCAATGTGTATATGTAATATTCCAGTGGAGAAAGGGTATGCGGTTCTCACATGAAATAGTTAACGTACAGAAGTATAATCATGGTGTTGAAAGGGTCCCCTGCTAATCTTTTATGCTGTGTTTATATGAAGCATGATTAATAAAAGCTCAGAAACAGAAACTGGGGTTCAACCTGAAGGTCAGAAAAGCAAAGCAGCCAGGCTTTTACCTCGACCTCAGTCCGAGAACGGTGATCCCGCCTCCAGGAATCTCAGAATGAGATTGAGACCAAGAGCTGTCTCCTCCCATTTTACAATTCTTTCTAGTTCTGGGAGTAAGGGCGTGAACCACTATGGCCTGGTTTCTATGGCAAGCTAGTGTGGCTACTGGGATTAAAGGCATGCGTCATTGCTACCTTGTCTGTGAGGCTGACCAGTGTGGCTGTTTTACTTTTCTGATCCTCAGGCAAGCTTTATTTATCAAAATACAAATGAAATGCCACTACAAAGACACTTTGTAACATGTTAAGATAAGTACACACTTATTCCTACTATTTCACACTGAAAAGCTAGCATCATTTAGTAAAGCAGATCCATTTTCTTGGCCACAATAAGATAAAAGATGATTATACACTGGCGCTGTTACAGGTTTCTGTTAGGCATCCAACATTTAAAATAAGTTACTTCTAAAATTGGAAGAATCAAAAAAATGCTTCAGGCCCTTAGGCATGACAAACAATTCCAGGCATCACAAGGAAGAATGTGACATGTGGGAGGTGATTGGAAATCTTAACACAAGTTCTGTTTCTACTCAGAAATGGTGGCTCCAAAACACATCCTCTGCATCCAACCATATACTCCCTTGGCCTCAAGAACCCACACACACACAAGATGAGCGCGCGCGCGCACACACACACACACACACACACATCAGTAGACTACCAGACCAGGAAATGCCTTGAGGACATAAAATTCAGCTTCTTTCTTTGGTGGATCTGAATTCCAAAGAAGGAAATTGCGCATAAATGGTACACAGTTAATTCTCACTAGAGCTAAAGCCTGTGCAGATGAGCAATGTTCAGTAACTGCCTAAACCTCAGTCCAAAGAACCTGGTATACCTTGGTGGCAGGTTCCAGAATATGTTGAATCTCGTGTACATCCCTAGATTTCTTTGCTTGTTCATTAAAAGGGGATTAAATCCCCATTCTGAAAGGCTTATAGTATAGGCATCAGGTCAAGAGACAGAGTGTGGGTTGTACATGGGGCTTCCTTGCAGGTAGCTGCTGGAAGCTCATGGTACCCAACTCCATCCAGAAGACGTTCAAAGAATAGCATCCAGTCTTGTAAATAATCATTTCTCCATGGCGCATTTTTATTAATATTTATTTTAACATACATTCTCTTTCCTACATATAGTTGAAAATATTAAGTATTTGTATCCTCATGAGTTGTTATGATATATAATATGTATATGTATAATCTCGTTGTTGTGGATTGCATGTTTGTGAATTTGTTTACAAACTAAAATCCATTTGTAACCCCCAAATCAGTGCTCATGATACTAGCATAGACACACAAAACAGTGACTTTTGACTGATCCAACACATGTGTTTCCAGTAGAGGTTGAAGAAGCTGAGACTCTGCTGCCTTCAGCTGTAAACATTGTTGGTTCGGGACAGGGAAGGAATTTACATTCCACCGTGTGGTGGTGCATGCCTTTAACCTCAGTACTCGGGAGCCAGAGGCAGATGGATCTCTGTGAGTTCAAGACCAGCCTGGGCCAGAACAGCCAGAGCTGTTATACAGAGAAACCCTGTCTTGAAAATAAATTATGCTAACTGAGGTACTGAGGTGGAACAAGGAAGGTAGACACCTCTCTCTCTCTCTCTCTCTCTCTCTCTCTCTCTCTCTCTGTTCTGATCCTGTCTCTGCTCACTGGTTTCTGTGGTAGCAGGCAGCATGGGCTTCAGTAATTATACTTACAATCAGCCTATAATTCTTGGGAGGCTCCTTACACATATAAGACTCATATGCTACATATGCTTTCAACGCCTGTTTAGGAGATGCCTGTTTATAGAGCCCCAAAGTGATGCTTAAGTGATTTCTGATGTTCCCAGGTACAAAAAGGCTACAATTACATCTTATGTAGAAAATGGATATGTTAGAAAGACTTTATTATAGAGGTGTTAGCGTGAACTCAATGTCAAGGACTCAAGGACGTGTTAAATAAAGTATGTTTAAATGGAAGCATGTATTTAAAAGATTAGATGGTGACCAGCTGACAAAATGTGACCAGTGGTCTCAGTTCTGTGGCCCCATGCTCTCCTTATGAGCAGCTGATCAATGTTTGCTAATTGTGTGTGTGTGTGCGCGCGTGCACAAGCATGTGTGTGTATGTGATATTTTCTTCCTTTTTGTGTTTTTATTTTTTTTTTGTTTTCCAAGACAGTGTTTCTCTGTGTAGCTTTGAAGTCTGTCCTGGAACTCACTTTGTAGACCAGGCTGGCCTCAAATTCAGAGATCTGCCTGCCTCTGCCTCCCAAGTGCACTAGGATTAAAGGTGTGTGTCACTATCACCCAGCATGTATATAATATTTTCTAATTCTGTGTTTAATCACTTTATTGTGCATTCTTGTGAAGAATGAGAATTGAGTCATGTCTCTTGAGTTCAAACCTTGTTTGTTATAACACATAACTTAGGACACTAGCTAAATGAAGCCTGAAGGACCAAGATTTTAATTGGCCACACTGTCATTTCTTGTAACATCCCTGCCACCCTTCCTTTCAAGTCTGCCACTTTGATACAAATTGAAACCCTTGAAGAGGGAGCTGTATTGATGGAAATGCACACACTCACCCCAGCTGCAGCCCACACTTTCTGCAGATCACATGTCTTAAGAAAAACAAAAGCTTTTGCCAGGCGGTGGTGGCGCACGCCTTTAATCCCAGCACTTGAGAGGCAGAGGCAGGCGGATCTCTGGGAGTTCGAGGCCAGCCTGGTCTACAAGAGCTAGTTCCAGGACAGACCCCAAAGTTACAGAGAAACCCTGTCTCAAAAAAAAAAAAAGAAAGAAAAGAAAAAAAGAAGGAAGGAAGAAAAGAAAAGAAAAGAAAAGAAAAGAAAAAGGTTCTCCCCATTAAAAACCTGTACACTACAGGCCAGTAGCTCTGTAGTGCTGTTACAGAGCGAGAGGAAGGAATACTCGCGGCTGGACTCTTCATCCCACAGTAGAAAGGGGGACAGCACTGGCGAATGTTTAACTGAGCGTTTATGTGACATTTCCAAAGAAAGATGACGGTCTTTGCAAAGCCATGGTGACAGACTGATGTTAACATCTACAACTTCCAGCACCAGCACATACCAGAGCGAGGACCCTGTTCAGATCCCTGAGCCCCACCTCCACTTCGGGGCTTGATTCCCTGCGCCAGTAACCCGTAGCTTATTCCTGTTTCCTGCCCTCTCATCAACCTGCGTCTTTGCTGTCTTAGAAAACCAAACCCACCGAGGTCAGTATCCTCGCCGCCATTACTTTCTTCCTGCATCCAACAGTGTCTTGATAACAAGTAACTTCAACTCTGCTGGT